TGCTTCTTCTTGTGTCATAAAGTCTATTCATTACTGGTCAGATGTTTTGCTTCATTAATACTCAAAGTTTAGAGTACATTACGGAGAAACATGTTGGATTTTGAAAGGTTATAAACAAAAATATTAATCTCCTGGAATCTTTTTTTAGTTTAAATATTATATGTAAAAATATAAGACTAAAAATAGATATACATATATTTGTAAGAATAATTCCTGTTTAAAGGGGACATGAAAAGCTATACACATAAAAGCTCATTTACACCACTCATCCCTGCTCTCAAAAACGGACATAGATGTAACTCTGTCTGTAAAGCTGAATTTAGAAATAAGTGCGTAAAGTAAAAGTTTTAAACGTGACGTCATGTGGTTGGTCGGTTGCGGCTAATAGACTTAACATTAGTTTATGTTCATAATGACACCAATGTGATCAATCAACCAATCAACTGTCCCGCCCTAAAGCCCACTTCTATGTTGAAGAGGGAAACAAAGCAAAGGTTCTTCCAAGGACCATGGGTGGGCAAATAACCTGAAGTTTCCAGTGTATTTGTACTGGTTGGCCGCTCTGGTTGGCCAGTGCCACTTCCTATCATGAAGTGTTAGAAGTGTTTAATGTCCCACCACCATAGTCTATGATGTTGTACAGCTGGTGTGGCAGAATTATAGACATGTACAAGAGTTTAGTCTATCTTTTTGCCACAGGTGAGCTGGAGAAGCCTGTTAGTTATCCTAAAGAGATGCCTTGTAAGGTGTCATGTCACACAAAAACTAAATAACCTGCTTTTTTCTTGTAGGACTGAGAACTGTTTGTGACTACATATTTTACCCAGAAGGAACCTGTTACTGCATAAAGAAATAACACAGCCCTATGTCATGTGACCTAAAAAAGGATAGACACAGGGACAATAGAGGTTGACCTTGAACAAACTGTCATTGTATGAAAGCAGTGAAGCAAAAAAAGATAAGGAAGAAAAAATGTTTTCGATTTTTCTGTCCTGATACCGGTGCCAAGCTACAGAAAATTTTGTTATACTTTTGCATTGCTATACACGCAAGAATGCTCTTTAAAGAGTCCAGCAGTAGCTGTGCACTGATAAACCTTGACAGCATACCAACAGAGGCATTTGGAGTGTTTCTTTTTCTTAGACATAGTAATGATAGTATAACATATTTTACTTCAACCTTTACTGAGGACCCAGCTGGGTTGAGGTTTGGACTTGGAATGAGTCACTGGAACCACTTCAATTTTTTATTTTTCCACAATTCTAATATAGATTTTGGATGTAGAAGAACATGAAAGATCTTTCTGTCAGTCAGATCATTCTTGTTTGCAATAATAGTTTTGTTTGTTTTTTTTCTGACTGTGCTTTTATGATATTGAGGTAATACATTTTAAAATGTACTTTAACCATTTAAAATACTACAGAACGGTCTTGCTAATAGAGATGGGAAAGGCAAACTAGTTCCTGACTGTTGCACACTGCAAAAGAGTAATGTTCAAACCATGGCAGAGACTGATGTTTTGCACTTTAGAGTCTCTGTCTTGTGTTTAGTTCCCATAGTGATTGGTTTGCATTTCTAAATGTAGTATACAAAAACAGCAAGACTTCCTACACAAAAGTTGGATTTTTAAAAAATACAAACTTGAAAGTAAAATCTGCACAGCTATCAGAAGATCTGCAAACATTTGGGAGACAGTAATAAGCAGATTCTATCTATGGTGAAATGAAGTTGAACACTGCCAATGAATCTGGATGCTCATGAACAACTGGATTCCTTTGCAAACAGGTTTAAGAGGTTTATTAGAAACTCAACCGGTGCAGAGGAAGGGTACGACAAGCTCCAGGCTGAATAGAGAGAAGCACATCCAAGAGTTGGCAGGCAAATCACAGTGACAAGCAAAGTCCTCCAGACTCAGAGCAATTTCTGACAGTATAGATATGCCTGATGTTTCCCACAACTATAGCTGAGCAATCAGGCAAGGTATGGAGGAATCGACTAATCTTTAAATCGACAAAAGGATGATGAATGACACCATTTGACAATTACTGTGAAGTGAAGTGGAGCAAAAATGCAGGACGTTAGATTTTATCATACTAAAAACAAAAGTTCCCATGTGTTCACTTAGGCAGTGCCATTGCTCCTGTTAACAAGTTCTAAACATTCATGATAAAAGCTACTCAAAGCATTCATAAAAGTCAACCAGTGATACAGCAGATAAAATAAGTATCAAACAGGCCACCAATTTTCAAATTAAATATATTTCTAAAGATACAATGGATATGAAAAAAATGTGTACACTTTCCTTTGGAAAGAAATTGTATTTCCTGTGACCAGTGCAGTAAAGAATAAGGCTACATGCTTTTAGATTTTACTTTCTGTTACTAGCATGGAGCGATTCAGCACAAAGGATTCTCTTTTACTTCCTTAATTCTTATCTATGCTGTTCACATGATCTTTAAATACTCACTGAGCAATGGTAAGACTATAAACAAGTTTTTCGACAGGTTAGTGCTAAGCAGCATGCACACTTAGAAACATCTGAAGTACGTGGAGTTAAAATAGTGGTAAGAACAATCTATATCCACTTTATTTATCCACTCCAAAATATGGCTGAATGAGCTAATAATGTAACTAATTACACTGTTGTTCATCTTTTCTTAGTTGTAACTCATGGATTATACGGTGATCATCTTTGTGCTGATAGGTTGGTGCATCTTTTTGATTAATTCTGTTTGTACTTTTGTTTGTTCTGAACAATTACAGCTCCAGAAACCTATATACACAGGGAAATATGAAACCTATATACACAGGGAAATATGGGGGGGGAACTAAACAAAAAACATTTGTGAATGTTGTTTTCCTGTAGAGTGTATTTTATTTAGGTTAAGATTTTGGTAAATGGGTAAGCATGAATACAAAAGAAAAGATGAAAGCTATAAATTCATGATAATATCTATATATTAAAAATATGAATCAATAATAGCACTTTGCAAAGAGATTTTTGATTTATTTTATTTGATTGTTTGTTTGTTTGTTTTGCTTAAAAGTTGCTGCCAAACAAAAATGTCACAAAGGAGAACAAAGTTCTGTGAAACCTTACAGTAATGTTAAATTGAACACTACCAAAATAAAAGACAATGCTTTATTTCAGGAGCGCTGGTTAATGGTACATTTGGTCAAACTCATCAGTACTACTATGTGAGCACCTCACTGAACTGGACGGAGGCACAGAGCCACTGCAGAGATGTCTACACTGACCTGGCCACCATAGAAAGCACAGCTGACGTTAATGCTGTCAGAAGCATTGCAACAAACACAAGTAAGCTCTTAAAACTAGTATTATAAATGTAATATATATGACTATACATATAAAACAAACTCCCAACATCTTGAGAAATGTAAATGGATTACATAAAACTAAAAAATTATATACTTCGGCTTGTTAAAGAAGAACAACAATTCCAGTTTGTGGTTATTTCTGAATTGAAAAGTCTTGTTTTTATTTAATGAACATCTTTTTGAACAGGTAAGGCATGGATAGGTCTCCATGATGACCTGGAAAACAGTTGGAGATGGTCCCTAAATGACAGCAGCTTCTACGGTCAAGGGGAGACAACATTTAGAAACTGGTACACTAATGAGCCCAACAATCTTAATGGACAGCAATACTGTGTGGCACTTTTAAGTGGGAGTCCATACAATGGTGAATGGGATGACCGTGACTGTGACGACATCCTAAACTTTGTGTGCTATAATGGTAAGTTTATAAGAATTATACAGAATATTTTTGATGGTTTGCACAGTAAGAAATGTTTTTCCGCCACAATTATGAAAAAATCTATAATTAGATCACTTTTTTTCTCAATGAACACAACACATATTAGAGATTTTACAGATATCCATTCTGACATGTTATATTTCTTCTCTTCTTCCATATATTTCCAGGTACAATAAATGGTCAAGAATCTTTTGTTAAGGTTAATTTGTTTATGAACTGGACTGATGCTCAGAGTTTCTGCAGGAACAATTATGTTGATCTACCCAGGTACAGGATTCATCCATCCCTACTGACGACTACAAGAAATAATATTAGTTTCTAAGATTATGAAGTCATGAAAATGAGATGCAGACACGATGGCCTTTTCATTCATTTCAATTAAGGTTGCACTACACATTCAATGATGTCTCTTTACCTACAAGATGTAAATGTTGAATTATTAAAATTAATTTATCATAAAGTGTTTAACTTTCAGTGTGTCACTAAATCCTTGAATTGTCACATAAGGTACTATGTTTCCAAAAGAACATAATAAGATACATAAGTGATGAACAATAAGTGTGTGAAACTATGTGTTAGATGCTTAGATGTCTATTGTTTAAACTCTGTATTCAAAGTTCTGCATGCCTTCTTACAGTATACGAAATCAGACAGAAAATGACAAGATCAAAGTCACAGCAAATGGAAGCTTTGTGTGGATTGGTCTGTATCGGCAAAAGGTGTGGTCTGATGGGAGTGACTCTCTGTTTCAATTCTGGGCCACTGGGCAACCAGACTCTGGATATGAGCAGTGTGTTGCTGCAGATTTCAGTGACTCGGGACGATGGTTGGATGAATTGTGCTCCAACAGCTTTTCATCAATCTGTTTTACAACAAGTAATAGATCTAATTTCTACTCTCACATCCTACATAGATGTTAAGTTCTGCATAAAAAAATTTAAAAATGTACTTATTGTTGTTACTTTTTGTTTATGCGAAGCCAAGATCCAAGCAAAATATAGTGAAAATACAGTATACAGGTTTTATTATATACGCTTATATAAAAACACAGGCAGTAACCACGTGTCTTAAATTATTATTAATGAGGAATATCATCTGCTGTGAGTATACAAGTGGCAAAAACTTAGGTACAAGTGTAAATTAAAAACTGATTCAAAAGTGTATTTTACCTTAAATGGTTATGTCAGTCAATAGTTCAAAGAATTGCTTACTTGTTACTGCATTGTCTTTGAAATCATTAATGGGCAAAATAAATGTTGTGACTTTCTATGCTTTCTGCCATGACAGTGACGTTCAGTCTAACGGGACAAACGGAAACCAGCATCACTCTGCAGTGGAATAAAGTCAACAACAATGTCAGCTTTGTTCTCCAGTTTAATGGTACAGAGACAAGCATCAGTGCACCAGCTGGAAATGGACCAGTAATCACACGTCTCATCTCTCACTGCTGGAACTCAATACACATTCACTCTCTACTCTGTGTTTGAGAACGTCAGAAGCAGTGGAGTCAGCATTACTGCAGTCACTGGTGAGTTAATCAATTGATTTAAACTGCAATACAATATTTTCAAAAAATACTGATAATAATTCAAAAGTATAATTTTTGACTGTTTTTAACTAGTGAGAAATCAATTTTGAAGAATTTTTGAAACTTACTTTATTTTCTCATTTTTCCATTTAGCTCCTTCAAATGCACAAAACCTCATATCATCAGGACAAAATGAAACCAGCATCACTCTGCAGTGGAATAAAGTCAACAACAATGTCAGCTTTGTTCTCCAGTTTAATGGTACAGAGACAAGCATCAGTGCACCAGCTGGAAATGGACCAGTAATCACACCGTCTCATCTCTCACTGCTGGAACTCAATACACATTCACTCTCTACTCTGTGTTTGAGAACGTCAGAAGCAGTGGAGTCAGCATTACTGCAGTCACTGGTGAGTTAATCAATTGATTTAAACTGCAATACAATATTTTCAAAAATACTGATAATAATTCAAAAGTATAATTTTTGACTGTTTTTAACTAGTGAGAAATCAATTTTGAAGAATTTTTGAAACTTACTTTATTTTCTCATTTTTCCATTTAGCTCCTTCAAATGCACAAAACCTCATATCATCAGGACAAAATGAAACCAGCATCACTCTGCAGTGGAATAAAGTCAACAACAATGTCAGCTTTGTTCTCCAGTTTAATGGTACAGAGACAAGCATCAGTGCACCAGCTGGAAATGGACCAGTGAATCACACAGTCTCATCTCTCACTGCTGGAACTCAATACACATTCACTCTCTACTCTGTGTTTGAGAACGTCAGAAGCAGTGGAGTCAGCATTACTGCAGTCACTGGTGAGTTAATCAATTGATTTAAACTGCAATACAATATTTCAAAAATTGAAATATCAAAAGTATAATTTTTGATGTTTTTAACTAGTGAGAAATCAATTTGAAGAATTTTTGAAACTTACTTTTTCTCATTTTTTTTAGCTCCTTCAAATGCACAAAACCTCATATCATCAGGACAAAATGAAACCAGCATCACTCTGCAGTGGAATAAAGTCAACAACAATGTCAGCTTTGTTCTCCAGTTTAATGGTACAGAGACAAGCGTCAGTGCACCAGCTGGAAATGGACCAGTGAATCACACCGTCTCATCTCTCACTGCTGGAACTCAATACACATTCACTCTCTACTCTGTGTTTGAGAACGTCAGAAGCAGTGGAGTCAGCATTACTGCAGTCACTGGTGAGTAAATTAATGATGAGTACAAGCTGGAAGAATAACAGGTTTTGTTTTGTTTTTGACTTTTTTCTTTGGTTTAGTTTTTCTTGTTGTTGTTGTTGCATCTTCCTTTTGCTGCTCATCAGTGCATGTGATTGTTTTCCTTGTTTATTAGTGTTGAAGAATCAATTTGCATGTAGATATTGTGTTTATAGTTAATTCCATTTTGTTTTCTCTCCCTGTAAATGCATAACTGATTCTACTTTCTACATTCAAAGGGCCTAGTAAGTATTTGCCTTTCTTTCATTTACTGTATCCTCCCAAAGCATTTTTGGTCATGTATATTGTTTGTATACCTGTGTTTGTATCATTTGACCATTTACAACATTTCTGTAATTTACTTCATAATGCATTGCATGTATATCTCTACAATCCTAATTAACAAAAACTTGGATGCTGTGAATAACAACATACATTTAAATACAGTATCCAAGAATAAATACTCCTTTAATTTCTTTTATAAATAAAGATTTCAGGATCATTATGTCATTATTAATTAGTGTAACATTTGTTTTTGTTTTTTGTGTAAACAGATTATGTTATTGGACTGAAAGCGAGACTGCGGGCATTTGTTCAGCTGTCAGAGTCGGACATTCAGGAGAGACTGGAAGAGGTCAGACTAACCTCTGTTTTATTTTCTTTTTTCATACTTATATTCACTTTGTCCAGCGATAACATGAAGCCTTTTTTCTGTTTTCCTCCGCCTCTAGTTCTTCAGACAACATGGATTACAGCCACAGGTTTTATCCCTGAGGAATCTGAAGGTTAAACCATGACACTAGTGGAGAAAAGTGCTTTATACTTTACAAATTTCCAATTAATTTCCTCAAACTGGAACAAGAATTAATTTGATTGACCATTTTTGAAGATCTCCATATACATAATTGTTTGTATTCTGGGTACTGAGCAGCAGCAGAGGTCATTAACAAGTTAAATGTTATCTTGACCTTTTTGTAATCTTTGTTGCTCAGAAGTTAATAACAGGTGTGCAAAGTTTTGTTTATCAGTGTTTTAAATGTGATAATGCAATTAAATTAAATACTGTGGGCATTTATGCTATATCATTATCTTTCTAAACCGATGAGTTATATTTTTATGGTATCTATTTGAACAAACAGAATACTGCGTTAATGTAACTCCCTTGCACCCCTTGCTGGAAATAAAAGTAATTACAGTGGTATTGCTTTTGTTGTAGGTCTGGAAAAGGAGAATCAATCTAGCTGAGATCATGTCTAACGTCAAATTCCTTATCACTTCTTTTTTGTCAGTGTTGCCATATTTCTGATGGCCACACATTTTAAATAAATATTGTCAAGATCACAGCAGAGGTGGACTTTTTTTTTTTTTTGCTGTTTCTTTCTACATAGTGTTTAGTTCTCTTATCATTTTTTTCCTGGTGTCTGCCACATTTTTTCTGAGTGCTCCGTACTCCTGTCATTGTCTGAAGGGCAGTCTGTCTTTGTTAGCTCTGCAATAAACTGGTGACCTGTCCAGAGTGTAGAAGAGTGAGCAGCTGGGTATGCAATAAACTAAATTAAAATATTGATAGTTATTTATTAGTATCTATTTGCGTTCCACTTTGAATCTTTTGGGATCAGAATCAACAACTGTAAGCTAATGTGACGTAGCAACAGGAAGAGTTGCCATACAGCATTAATTCACTGCCCTGACTGTCCAGGGCAGCTTACTGGACACAGGACTCAGGAGGTCACACTGGTAGTCTATTTATCAGAAGAGAGACCACAGACCCACAGACCACATGTCAAAGTGTCCTTGGACAAGATACTAAACCCCAAAATGCCTGTCATTCATTCATCGGTGTGTAAGTATATATCAACCAAGTGATACATACTTATCATTCCCTATACTTTTTCTTCAGAAGGGTAGACTGACTTACAGTGAGCCAAGAGCCACATATTGAGCAGCTGGACATACAGAACCAAACATAAGGGGAGGCTCTAGGTCCAGAGATAGAGCAGGTCATCTACTGGAATCTGTTGGAAGGTGATGGTTCAGTCTCTGCCTACTCCAGTCTCCATGCCAAATATATTTGGGCAAGATTCTGTTCATATAGCACCAACCTGCACCTCATGGTTCTTTAAGGTGTAAGAATGATAAATAGAAAGAATGAGTGTATGTTTATTTCACAATATTATTATTATTATCATTATTATTATTATTATGTTTGCCTAACAAAAAGTCCAGGGAAGTAGCCAATCAGGTCAGCTGTTAGCAATGATTAGGGCTATTGCCCTATCGTAAAAGCTGTCCATGAGTCTGTTTGTCCACGACCTCAGCAGCCTGAATCTCCTGCCAGATGGCAGCAGCTTAAACACCTGGTGTTCTGGTGTGTGCAGTCCCGTAGGATTCTGCATGCCCTCTTGCGACAGTGCTGAACAGGGGGGGTAAGAGGATGTCCAATGATTTTTGGGGCCATATTAATGACCCTGTGAAGGGCCTTTTTGTGTGCGATGGTGCAGCTGGACAACCATACACAGAATTGTTAATAACTATATTTACCATGTGTACCAAACAGGGCTGCGACTTGTCATCGAGTACATTTAATAATTAAATTAAAAAATTCTCAACACAGATTCCTTGCTTTGATACTTTGTTTAAGGCACGGCTCTGTAGCACGCCATTGTCAACATGGAAGCGCAAATGCGAATGTTTTAACCCGAAAAACAAACCTGCAATACAAACGTATTTATGAGCAGTGTGTGAACAAAATGTTTGACAACATTAAGCCCACACACGCTAATGACAAAACAGAAGCAGTGAGGATGATTCTGGCATAGTTTCACGTGGTGCCAGAATCTGTTCCCACACCGCCAAGAACAAAAAGGTGGAGCGATTACCGAGACAGTGAGCTCTTGTAGAGTGAAAGAAAAGCAAACTTTGGTGCTGCTGCATCCACCGTTTGTTTTACAGAGTGAAAAAGCAACAGGAAGTCTCCAGATGTTGTATTAAAATATGCAGATGAACTGTTACCTAAGTTTGATAATGTGACGAAATTATCCAGCTTAAGGAATCTGACGGCAGCCGTCCTATTTTACATGGAAGCGAACAAGGGTGAGTCTAACTAAACCACTCAGTCATCAGAGCCAAACCCTTTAGAATAATCACCCAGCAGAATATATGCATTCAAAACTTATATATTCTCAGTTCATAAACAGAAATTATGAATTAGCATAACATGTCTTACTCTGCTGATCAAACATAGACTCTGTGACTACAAACCAACAATGAAATAAAGAAGACAAAAAAAAAATCATGGAACCCAAAAGAAAACAGAGCAGTTGAGGTTCTAAGTGAGATACATATCCTTCTCACATGTTAATGAGTCATTATTATCAAACTTATAATCAAACTTATTCAGTTCTATAATTCCAAAAGTACAGAACTGTGATCTAAAAATACTCCTAAGGAGAATATCTGGCTGCCCATCATACACTCATCAGCCACTTTATTAGGTATATGTTCAAATGCAGGTTTTCACATATATCCAATCACATGAAAGCAACTCAAGCATTTAGCATTGTAACAGCCCGTATTGTATTATAGCACCACTAGGGTGGTGGCAGCCATTCCATGCTGTTCATGCTCTGTTCTTAGGAGAAACCTTACCGTTGTAACGGGCTGGCGCCGGCGACTACTGATCTTTGCAGATGTATGTACGACCTAGTAGAGCTGTGGAGACCTGGCTTGTATGGTCTTTTGTTGCTGACAACGAATAAAGGTATGTTGTTTGATTTAACTGACTGGCTTCGAGTTATCCAGCTAACCTCCACACCATATGCCCGCTGGACCTGCTAGCCGCTCCTTCCTCGCCAGACTGCTGTTACGCCATGCAGCCCGACAAAAAATACGTACACTGATACGTTGGGTTCGGTTTCATGGGGTTTGTATTCTATCAGAGCAATGAGGAAGTAAAAAGCTGATACATTTTTTACTTTATTTCCTAATACCCTACACCAAGGTATTTGTCACAGAGGGTCTGATTTACTACCCCAAATCCTATCTAAGCCCATGACTAAGACCTTAAACATTAATAATGAACACAGTTAAACATTAAACCATGCACTGTATATTGACCTACAGGCATTACTTAGGATTAAAATATTGATACCCACCTATGTTTCATGTTTTTACAGGGAAATGCACTGAGAATCTGTTCATTTGTACAAACACACACACACACACACACACACATTCTGGCAGTTTGCTGGTCTGATGCAATCAGGTGCAATCTTCCAAGGACATTCCCCTGAGGTGAGAATATACAAAACAAACAAACAAGAATTTAAAAAAAAAAAAAAAAGCACTCACAGGCCTCACTTAGTATGTTAAATATTAAAGATCATGACAGTGGATTTTCACATCTTCACATGATCTGTTTTACATCAAATAATTTACACAGTCTATTTACTGTCACAAATCTCCTCTATGAGATTTACATTATGAATGGTGTAGCTTTTAATTATTGTCACATGCTATAATGCAGCCCACATACTAATGGGCAAATAATAAGTGACATGTGAAATCATCTCATAAACCAGATATAATTGCATCACAGCCCTTGAGTTTCACATGTCTGACTTAAACCTTTGCATACATTTGCTATATCTCTAAAATTAGAAACATCCCATTACAGCGTGATACTGAAAAACTAGTGGATGCATTTATTATTTCTAGGCTGGACTACTGTAAATCGTTTTCAGTCCTAAAAACTCAGCCTTCAGCTAATCCAAAATGTTGCAGAGGGAGTACTGGTTCGAACGAGGGAGCATATTTCTTCAATACTGATTTCTTTTCATTGGCTCTCTGTTGAATCCAGAATCAAATTTAAAACTCTCTCCTCATATGCAAGGTCTTCAATACTCAGGTCACATCTTATATTAAAGACATAGTACCGTATCACTCCAATAGAACACTTCGATCTCAGGCTGCACTTCCCAGATTATTTTAAAGTACAGGGTGGGCCATTTACATGGATACACCGTAATAACACGGGAATGGTTGGTGATATTAAAGTCCTGTTTGTGGCACATTAGTATATGTGAGGGGGCAAACTCCTCAAGATAGGTGGTGACCATGGTGGCCATTTAGACTTTGGATACAAACTTTTGTTTTTTCAATAGGAAGAGGGCCATGTGACACATCAAACTTATTGGTAATGTCACAAGAAAAACAATGGTGTGCTTGGTTTCAATGTAACTTTATTCTTTCATGAGTTATTTACAAGTTTCTCTTTGTTCGCAGCCATTGACATGTCGAAGAGGTTAACACGTGAGGAGCGGATCGAAATTGTGTTGATATCTGGTGAACACAGTAACCGGGTCATTGCAGCAGATTTCAATGCAAGACACCCTACGAGACCACCCATCTCCCATGCTACAGTCAGCAAACTGCTTGCCAAGTTTCGTGAAACTGGTTCAGTGTTGGATTTGCCAAAATGTGGACGCAAGAAAACTGTCACTAATGAAGAAACATCAGTGGCTGTCCTAGCTTAATGATCAGTTATTATTAATCTCTGGCTCTCTTCCACACTGTGTCTTTTATCCTGTCTTCCTCCCCTCACTCCCAGTCATATGCAGCAGAAGGCTGTCCCTCCGCCACAAATGATTTTACACATCATCCAATATTTTTGTTCACTGGAGTTGTAACTGGTGTTGTAAAGTATTTTTTTTACCAAGAAGGAAAAAGGAAATAACAGATAAATCAGCACTATGTTATGCTGTAATATGAGACAAAAAGAGATAAGCACTGAGACAGGTTGGTTTTTGAAAGAATTTGTATTACATCAAAGTAGTGAATACAAGAAATGTCTGTAAGGTTTAGACTGTTCTTCCTGATATCTGATAAGTCATTGTTACAGAAAAAGTTTTACTTCCTTTTGTCTTAGCTACACCCATGAGAACGATCTTTAAACAGTCGCAGCAGAAGGTGAGAACTAATATTTCTACATTGACATCTTACTCAATGAATACTGAGAGGTGTTTTAAGTATTTCTATTCTTGGACTTGGTAAGAACAATCTATATTTACTGTATTTTGTTAAAAGGTTATATATATATAAGGATGAGTTTCTCTGCACATATCTACATGTATTTTACTGAAGGTATATTCATTTAAAATAGGCTGTTTAACATTGTGGCTTTTTTTACAGTTTTGACTAATGGACTATAGATTGATCATCTTTGCCTTAACAGGTTGGTGACACTTTTTCTTAAAAAGAATTTCAGCTTAAGCAATCTTCTTTCAATCCTACCTACATACAGGTGTTTCTACATAACATGCAACAGAGAGGTCAGCTTAAAAAAAGTTATATCTATCAGCTATAAATGTTTTCTATAGGGCACTAAATTTGTCGCTGTAGTCATGATTTTAGATTTTTGTAATATGGCAAAAGAAACTAAATGGTTGAAAAGACTATTCTTAATCTGTTATGAATACTGTTTGACGCGTACTTCACCATATTTATGTAAAACTTTTCGATTGTTTTTTAAGACTGAAACTAAAACAAAAGCTAGCTAAGCCTGCAGAGGACAAATATTCTTGGTATTAGAGTTTAAATTCAGTGCTGTTTAGGGTAGGTTCAGTGTAGCATTCATCAGCGTATCAACACACTGAATTTCAACATTTCAGCACAGCTATATGGAAGTATAATCCAGTCAATGACATAAAGAGATAGAATAGGAATTTTCTTCTTGCTGTATGTGTAAGAATGAATGTGAGAAAAACAATGTCTTTAAGTATATGAAGAAATAATAAAACAATAACAGGACCTTAAAAAAATCTATTTCACTGTTGACCTATAAGTTAGTAGATTCTTATATAAGACACTTTGGGAAACCTACAGTAATATTTCTAAACCTATTTTATCCATATTCCCTCTCCACAGTATAAACTATAATATATTATGTTTTTTTGAGTGTTGCAAAATTTAAATAGTGCCTTATTTCAGGAGCACTGGTTAGTGTTGCCTTTTGTCAGACTCGTCAGTACTACTTTGTGAGCACCTCAAAGACATGGACAGATGCACAGAGTCACTGCAGAAATGTCTACACTGACCTGGCAACCATAGAAAACACAGCTGATCTTTATGCTGTCACAAGTACTGCATCAAACACAGGTGAGTTCTTGATATTGGAAATATAAATCATACATAACAAACTGTAGAAATATATACAATTACACTCTGTTTATAGTAACCATTGTCCTTAATGTAAATATGTAAGAAAAAAAAATTGTCTATGTTTCTGTTCTGTGTCCTGTGTACTGTTTGTTTGTATATGTGTCTTTCTGGCTGCTGTTACAACCAAATTTCCCCTTGTGGGACAGTTAAAAGATTATTTTATTCTATTTTAAGTTCACAAAAAACAAATTCTTGAGAAACCTTAAAGGAATACAGAAAACAACAATTTGCATCTTTTTAAACAGGTAAGGCATGGATAGGTCTCCATGATGACCTGCAGAACAGTTGGAGATGGTCCCTAAATGACAGCAGCTTCTATGGCGTGGGAGAGGCAGCATTTAGAAACTGGTACCCTGGTTCGCCCAACAATCTTAATGGACAGCAACAGTACTGTGTGGCACTTTTAAGTGGGAGTCTATACAGTGATAGATGGGATGACCGTGATTGTGGTGATAAATACTTCTTTGTGTGCTATAATGGTGAGTTTACATGGAGTAAGAATTAACAATGTGTCAAATATTTCTCCTAAATCATTTCGACCTACTCAGTCTAGATCAGGGGTGGGGAGCTCCAGCCTCAAGGGCCGGTGTCCTGCAGGTTTTAGATATTACCCTGGATCAAATGATTAGTTTGCCCTCTGGAGAACTTCAAGACATGTTAAGGAGGTCATTTAGCTATTTGAATCAGCTGTTTTGGATAAAGGACACATCTAAAACTTACAGGACACCGACACTTGAGGCCTGGAGTTCCCCACCCCTGATCTAGATCATAAATCTACTATTAGGTCTCACTTTTCATTTCCTGAACTTCGCACACATTTTATAAAAACTATTTCACCAGCTAGTCCAACCTATCAGTCTACTGGTTCATTATTTCTGTATTTTTGCAGGTACAATAAATGGTGAAGCATCCTTTGTTAAGGTTAACAGTACTGTAAATTGGACTGATGCTCAGAGTTTCTGCAGAAAGAATTATGTTGATCTAGCCAGGTATAGTATCCACTAAAGAAGACTTTAAGGCACAACACAAGTTACCTTTTTCTGTTCTGGCAATTTTTTCCCAACGAAATTTGGGCAAACTAAAACATAGTTTTAAATTTTCATTTAAAACTATGTTTTAAATGAAAATTGGTTTAAAGTCATAGAAAATTTTAAAAGTATTTGCTTTATATAAAATATCAATTCCTCTGTTAATTAAAAGTTATTGTCAAATCTTTAAATAGCCACTCAATACACTGTCTTTGAAAATTTGAAGAAGAAAAAAAAAGAGAGAGAGAGAGATTTTTCCTCTGTATTCAAAATCCAACTCTTCTTCTTGCAGTGTAAGAAATCAGACAGAAAGTCAGAAGATCGCGGTCCTAGCAAATGGAGTTTTTGTGTGGATCGGTCTCTATCGGCAAAAGGTGTGGTCTGATGGGACTGACTATCTATTTCAATACTGGGCCACTGGGCAACCAGACTCTGGAAATGAGCAGTGTGTTGCTGCAGATTTCAGTGACTCAGGACGATGGTCGGATGAATTGTGTTCCAAGAACTTTCCATCCATCTGTTTTACTACAAGTAATAGATCTAATTTCTACTCTCACATACTTAACAGATGGAAAAGCCTGCATCGAATAAACATATTTCTATTAAGGCAATTTATTTGTTACTGAATATTAATACTAAAACCAGCACTTTGGTTTAGGAATTAGTAGTGTATGAGTAGTCCTTTAAGATCAAAGTGAGAGTACATGTTGTTTTCAGCCCAGCTAAATGCAATTCAAATCTACTGATCACAAAACTATATAAAAGACATTTCAGGGTTTTTTATGTCATTTCTGTCATTTACAGTAAACTTCAGATCAACGGCCCATAATGAGAGCAGCATCACTCTGCAGTGGAATAAAGTCAACAACAATGTCAACTTTATTTTCCAGTTTAATAGTACAGAGGCAAGCATCAGTGCACCAGCTGGAAATGGACCAGTAAATCACACAGTCTCGTCTCTCACTGCTGGAACTAAATACACATTCACTCTCTACTCTGTGTTGGCGAGTATCAAAAGCAGTGGAGTCAGCATTACTGCATTTACCAGTAAGATAACAAATATTTTCCTCACTGTATAACTACTGCCCCTCACCCCTCCCAGGGTAAGGTCCATCTCCAGAGATTTCTCTCCTGAGCCATTCTTTCTAGTTGGCTCTGGGTGTAGCCCATCTTATTTACTTCTGCCTCGAGGTCTCGTCGCCAGGTGTTTCTTGGGCAGCCTCTCTTTTCCTTGCCTTCAGGGATCCACCTGAGAGCCTGCCTGGGATGTTGGTTGGCAGTTTAAGTATGCCCTACCCAGCACCATCTTTTCTTCCTGATTTCTTCCTCTACTGGAAGTTGACAGGTTCTTTCCCATAAGATGATATTTGTGCGTGCCAGCAAATGTGGAGGATCTGTCTGAGACAGCTGATAAGGAATTTCTGGGGGGATTCCAAATCTATGTCTTTCAGAATGTATATTACATAAAATTTTGTCATAATCTGCAAAAAATCAGCTACAAGCAGCTTGAGAAGCTCAAGCTATTGCTAATACAAACACAGATATGAGAATGCCTACCTGCCTTGTTTTAGTGGTTCCTTTATCAAGTGGAATTAATTCAGCTTCCAGGAACAATAGCTGACTATGGCCACAAGATGGCAGTAATGTTAAGTCCCTGTCACAATAGGCATCTGCTTTAAAACATGCAGAGTCATCTGCTGTGGACGCATTTCTTCTCAACTACTTAAAACATAGTTTCGCAATTGGTCCTCCTAATTCTTCTTTGGCAATTTTTGTGTCCAGATGTTTTGATTCATTTACCTGACATAGATAATAGACCCAACGCAACTAAGGATACATTTAGCTCCTCCAAATCTGTTTACAGTTTTTTCTGATTGCTTAAGCACATTTTTTGTAACTATTGGCTAATTTTGCAAAACTC